TCAGTGAATTCTTTACCACTTTAGTAAACAGACTGTCTTCTGGGTTTTCCCATGGAGCATGGTTAACTGGTGGGTTACATAATATATCAAATCTAGCATGCCAAATTCTCTGAGCCTCTTGACAACTACTGCTACTGTCTTCCTCAGCAGCTCTGGCATTTCCAGCTCATTTAGGATGGCTATCACTTTCTCCAAGCTTCTAGCAGCATGCCAACCCAGGAGCACATTAATACCATCTCCTAAGTGCTTTGCAAATTTGTTAAATTCTGTATCACAAGGTGCTTCCATATAGACAAGCTTCCCTCAGCCAACCTAATATTTCATATCCTACCTTGATCCAGCATCTGAATACTCAGCTCCACATGTGGCCCAGATCACACAACTATGTATTAGGTAAGTATTGCAATTCCTTCATCTTCTCTTAGCTGGCCCAGAACTTTCCTGGCCAAGTTATGTTGTAAATTAACCCTAGTTATTGGTTTGGTGACCAGGATGAGAGGGGATGGTAGGTTCTGAGGAGATGCATGTGTCTTGCAAGGCAGAGACCTCTGCATTATCTTCAAGCAGCAGGAGAGCATTAGCCTGTAAGAGGGGCCTTTAATGGTTTAATAATAGCTTTTAATGGGTCACTCCTGCAGGTCCAGACTGTTCAGAGGGATTTAAAGATTTAAGAGATTCAAGTGCATCAACTCAAATATCCTCATCCCAAGTCTGATAAAGGCCCTTATCTTACAGAATAGATTTGCTGAGGCTGAAAATTCAACCTTTGGATCTGTTCCACTCTTATAATTAAGTCCTGGGCATAATCTCCAGCTTTTTCTATACTCTGGCTGCAGTATACTCTATATATGCTAAAAGGAGACATTCTGGCCTTCAACTTAGCCTTTAATTGGTGATCAGTCACTCCAGTCACCCCAGTCAACTCACTATTGTATTTCTTAATGTATACGCTGCCCCCAGAAATTCCAGTCTTAATAATTACTCTCCCCTCAAACTTCCCAAATATCTAAGACACTGCCTCCACCAAGACTCCTCTACCAGTGTCTCATTGCAGTTCAGCATGGTGAAAATTTTAGCAATCCTGTCACCACAGCATGTAGGAAGCTATCTATGCTCCTCTTTCCAACAGTAGTTGGGTCTACATTGCCAGCACCAAAAGCCCATTTTAGAAACTGCCTCCTCATATAATTCTTGGCATCAACAGTTTAGAAACAGAGTCTGAGATGAAGCTTTGCTTGCAGGAAACTTATTGGAGAGTGTCCTCAGGATCAACAAAGAAAGCAAAGAAAGGAGGCAAAGAAAGGAGGATTAGACAGAGAGAGGAGCTGAACAGCAATGCAATCACAACAGAGACCCAAGCCAATTCAATGGCGAGCTCTAGAGTTAGAACGGCCCTTCCAAGCTGTCCTGTCTTGAGACAAGGGACCAATAATTTTATATCCCTGCATCAACCTGTCATTGGCTGTGGGCTGCCTCTAGGAACAGGGCTTGAGCTTGAGAGTGGCAATTCTCTTTAGCTGAGGACAATTCCAGGGAGCAACTCAACTGAGATGTCAGCGGCAAACACTCCCTGACACTGGGGAAATGAGTGCCTCCGTTCTGCAGGGAGATTTAGATGGTGGCATAACATCCAACACATGTAATCCTGCTGTGGTAGGCAGAACAATGGCCCCCAAAGATGTCCACATCCCAGTTCTTGGAACCTGTGAACTTGTTACCATACATGGCAAAAGGTACTCTGCAGATATATTAAGGTTAAGGGCCCTGAGATGGAGAGATTATCCTGCATCATCCAAGTGGATTCAACTTAATAATATGAATCTTTGAAAGCCCCTTTCCTGGCTGAGGTCAGGGTTAGGTAGACCAATTTTGAAAACTGAGGAAGAAACCACAAACCAAAGGATATGGTCAGCCCCCAGAAGCTGCAAAAGCCATTCAAATAGATTCTCCCCGAGAGCCCCCAGAAGGAAATACGGCCCTGCTAGCACTTTGACTTTAGCCCAGTGAGACCTGTGTTGGACTACTAATCTACGGAATTTTAAGATAATAAAGTTTTGTTGTTTTATACCACTAAGTCCATGGTAATTTATTTCAGCAGCAATAGAAAACATGCTTTGACTGTAAAGGATACCAAATTATCAGTTTTTGCATTAATAACTCAAGTGTATAAGTACCTGTTTTATCATCAGGTTAGAGAACTAGTTTTTATTTTATCTTTTACCCCTTTCATCCAATCTCTGTATCATGAACAAACAGCCCTATATATGAGATTATTGAAAATACTTTTGTCTAATCCAACCCTTAGCTATTTAGGACTGTTGCACAGCCTCTTCCCTAGGCCTGAGCACCATGTTTCCATCATGAGGGAGTGCCTCCCTGCCCCTACCCACCACCTGTCTTTGGACCTAATTTTAGCCCCTGAAACCATCATATAAAATATTGGGTGGTAAATATCAAGAAATTGAATCATTTTTAATTTTTCAAAGAAATTTAGAACAATAATGGGATCAAGGATCTAAGTTCACTGTTTACACTCCTCGTGCAATTTCTCAACAGCACTATTGACATTTTGGGCCAGACAATTATTTGTTGTGGGAGCCCATTCTATGCATTGTAGGATGTCCAGCAGCATCCCTAGCCTCTACCCATGAGATGCCAGTAGCAGCCCCACAGTCCATCTCCCCTCTCTCTAGTTATGACAATTAAAAATATCTTCAGGCATTGTCAACGTCCCCTGGGGGACAAAGTGCTCCCCTCCCCTTCTTATGAACCGTTGTGCTACAGAGACATCTATAGAATTTAGACTGACAAGGGCTCTAGAAATTATTCAACCCTGCAATCTAACTTTAAAAAATAAGAAGTACTTCTCAAAGAGGTTGTTTGACTTGCCCAAGTCCAACTAGTTAGTGGCATGGTCAATGGCTACATGCAAGTCTATCATCTCCCTGGAGCCGTAGAATAGAATAGACTATTTGAAAACTAAACATTTTTTCTAAGAGTATTAATTAGCTTCCAGAGTTTCATTCACATATGCAGACAACTAAAATAAAGCACTGCAAGTTGACCCAGTTTTCTTATCCTTCCACGTTTTTTAAGGTTGCATTCTTCAGAACTTTTGTGGATAAAATTGCTTCTATGAGTAGCTGTCAGAAAAGCATTTCTGCTAATTAGCAGTGGTGACAGGACAGAGATATATGGAGCCAAATAGGTAACTCCCTCAACACCAACCTTCTTCCTTTTCCTTGAGCTGAAATGCATTGTTACTCTGTACACGAGGGATAGGGACTGAGAAATCCTTCCTTTCTGGGCAAGGAGGTCATTCCTCAAACTTCCTCAGAGATTTGATCATCAACAAGCCATCAGTTGCCAGGGCTTGGCTGGTTTTGTTAATTGGCAGTTCCATTTGCACTGAACAGAAAAGCAACACCAATAGCAGCCATGAAAATTTCTAGGTTGCTCCAATCTCAATTCTTACTTGTATTTAAAGGCATAACAATGTCAGTAGAATTAATTAAATTGCTGTCATTGTTTCTCTCTGGCACATCACTCACTCACACACTCCTGTGTTAACACACATTGAGACCAGCAGAATACACATTTACATATGCACCCACCTACACATGAAGGAAAATACGCTAATTTTTTTTCATTCGAATCTGTTATCTGTGGTTCTGGATCACTTTGAAAGCATATTTAAAGAATATAGGAACTGTGAGACAACTAGGCTTTCTCAAAATGCTGAACATTAAGCACCCTCAGGAGTCTGCTTCAATCCTCTGAAAACATGGGGATTTACTAAATGATTAAACAGCAACCTAATCAAATTTTGATCTATAATTCAAGAAAAGTAGGATGCCATATCCTATTCAATTTATCTGGTATAGCTAGCCTAACACCAGGAAGGGAGTTTGACCCCTGGGGTCGGGGAGGGACAACATCACAGGTGGCAAAACAACATTCCTGTTTGACTAAGCTTTCCCAGCTTACCTACTGTGTGGCATTAGACAAGTCTCTACTTGTTAAACTGGGCTGAGGAGCTATTGCGAGACAAGTGAAATTACATGTGCCTGGCACGCAGGAGATGCTTAGTAAAAATTTCCTTATGTTGTGTTGCATTTTCACAAATAAACCCAACTGAAAAGGTAATGTTTGTATCTGAGATGCTTCATGTTTCTTCACGGAATTGTCAAAACTCCTTTGATTATAGCCCCCATCACAAAGCCTGGCACAGGGTTTCAATTTAAAACTCCCTCAGATTGTGCTCCATTCAGGAGATACTGCAGGTGCTGGCAGGGGAGCATAGATGTCCCATTTCTGCCACCGCTGGTTTTCACAAATAGAGCTCTGGGCTTTGCTTTAAGAACTATAATATGCCAAATCAAACACCAAGGCCTCTACCACACAAGCTGTCACCACTGAATGGCAGAGATTCACCCAAGAGTGGGATATTCTGTGGCCTCAAAGGGTAAGGCATTTCTTCTTTTATGTGACTTAACTTTTGCCCTGAAATCCAGGACAGCCAACAGCACAGACTCTATTTGCAAAGAGTAAGACAGATATCACACCTCAAAACTATCATTTGTCTTCTATGTCTGTGAGGTAGGGTGATAATAATATCTAATACATACTGACCATTGACAACGTGGCTGCCATTATGCTAAGTGTCTTTCAATTTTTTTATCACTTGATGCTCACACCTTTCCTGTGAGTTAAATACTATACATGTTCTGAAGAGGAAGCAGCCTATGCTTGCCCAAAGGCTGACAAATTTTCCCAGTTCTTTATTTTAATTGCCATAAACATTAGGAGTAGCAGAATCGAAAAAGTTTTCAGACCCATATTCATGGAGCAGAAAGGAACTATAGAGGTTAAGTAACCAAGACCACTCTAGCCACATTTTAGTGTAGGAAATGAGGTCCAAATCATTGGAATGCTTTCTACAAGGTCAGAGAGCTGGAAAGATATCAGGCAGGACCCACCCTCTGGTTTCCAATTGCTACCTGACCCAGTGCTGTTTCCACTACACCACGTTATCCATCTATAACAGATACTGGCTCATCCTTCTATCTTTAGTCTTCATTCCATTCCCATGTGGGTGGCTGTGTTCCCAGGATCATTGGAATGAGCGTGGCTTGGGTGATGGTGAAGTAGGCAGGGAGTAGCCTTTGATTCCTTTGAGGGCTGGTGAAAAGGAGGAAGAAGATTTGAGCTCAGAGAGATGAAAAGAAGCTTTGAAAAAAATAGAATATCTATACAAATAATGTTATTTTTCACCCATGGGAACTTGAAGTGTCCAGCAGAATTTTCTGGGACACGAGGCCTTGAAAACTCAAATTTGGAACATTCCCACGTATACTTAGCAACTGTAACAGGTCCCCAGATCCTCTTTCAATCTGAAGAACAGGGATTAGTACTAGAAAATTCTTTCTTCCTATGCCCTTTTCTGTCTTTTATGGTCGGGCAACTGGGCTTTTATCTCTAGCAAATTGGGGAGAGACCCAAACACTCCCTCAGTGGGAACAAAAGCAGCTAAAGGACAAATAATGAAACTGCCTTTCACACTGCAAGCTTCACATTTCACTTTTCTTTCGCCTTTCTCCACGCTTTGCTTCATTTGGGAAGAAAACCTATTTTTAAAAGCACCAAACCCCCTTTCTGTCAGGGAACTCGGCAGGATTGATAAATAAGGGGAGTCATCTTAATGGGGATGCTGTCAGCAAACTCCTTCTTTTAAACAAATAAATGTGAGAAATGAGAACATTCAAGAGGCCCCTGTGTTCTGTAAGAGAAAAGAAACAGAAGATTCATTTCCACAGCAATATCGAACTGGACTTGGCCCAAAGGAACCTCCTTCATGATTGGAAAGGTTTGTTAATTAGCATGTGAGAACGTCTCTGGTCCCTTCCCCAATAATGCTAAGGGAATGATTTTTACAAGCCGGGGGGCTGTCCCTGGCTTTACACCAATCTGAGTCATCCTGGTTTCCTATTCGTTTTCTGGTGGGCTCCAGGTGTTGCTGCCTGCTTGAACACACGTCTGGTTACCACTGATTTGCTGGATTTAAATAAGAATCAGACCACTCTCATTTATCTCCATGCAGACACTGCAGTTTGTCAAACTCAAAAAATGCCCATCAGTGTAAAGGATTTAGGGAAAGTGGAGGATTGAGCGAGGAACAAGAGACTGGTGTAGCAGATGAGCCTTTGAAGAGTATCAGTTTGATCAATCAACTGTCAGACATCACTGATGCCCTTCTCCACCTCTAACAAATAGAGCGCAGGCTGCTTCATGCAGCTTTCTTCCACACGGAGTGAGCAGGCCACTGATTCTCACACGGATAAAATCAGAAGCTTGGTCCATTCCATTTCAAGCAGGAACGTTTTCATTTACTTCCCAACTGAATGACCCGTCCTCCCAGAGCCTGACTATAAAAAAATAGATCCCTGCTCCACTCTGAGTCTGACCCGGGGAGACTGGGGTTTTAGCTCCATGGGGGTGCCATGCTTTACCACGGAGTCCTCTTTGCCAATCTCCTGCACAGGTGATGCTCTTTTCTGACCCAGTGACATGGCTTATATTGTTGTTGTCTTTCCAAGAAAGTCTAGCCCTCTTAAACTACGTGCTACAACATAGCTCTTAAGGAGATTTGAAGTTGCTTTTAGTCTTTGTGGGAGAATTGAATTAAATGATCACCAAATTTCTTTCTTCTTTTGCCCAGCTCACAGTTAAACTATATTTCCAAAGCTCCCTCACAATTAGGCGGGGCCACGTGACAGAACTCTGGCGGAAGGAATATAAGCAGAAGTGCTTCTTGTCGTGTCCAAGCTTAGCTGATAAAAGATCCAATGCGATCTTTCTTGTTTCTTTCTTCCTGTGCCAGCTAGACTGATACAAAAAATCCCAAAGAGAACTTCAAGACCCCAGGGGATACTTGAGTCCCTAGAAAAAGACTTGGGTCCATCAATGTGGCTGAGCAGACGAGCTTCAACGGAGCTTCTCGGCCAACCTGCACTGGACCAAGAGAAGAGCAAAAAACAAACCCCTATCAAGTTAGTCCGCTGAGATTTGGGAGTTGCTAGTCACCCACTCAGGCTACCCTCACGAATGCAAACTGGGAGGAGAAACATCTATATTAGCTGCACTGCACTGTGATTAGCTTGAAGGAGGCCAAACCTTAAGTTACTTTTATATCCCCGGCTTCTCATAGAAAGCAGACTTTGTAACTGTTTGGAGAGGCCGAGGGGGCACAGAGAGATAAGGAAACCTATAAAATACGTCATATGGCAAAATTAAATTAGCTCTATAGTCAAGGTAAACGTGCAGTGAAAAAAAAGAGCACATAGAACAGTTGTCCACGAGTGGGAGAATCTGGGAAGTCTTTCTGAAGTCTTTCCTTAGAGACATGGAAAGGGCATTCAAGGAAGAGGAAGCTGCTGGTTAAGCAAAGCTGTCTTGGATTCTGTGGCTGTTCTAAGAATGGCAAGCGATCAGTCAGAGGAGCAAAGCTTTTTTGTTTATTTTTTAATGGTTAAAATGGTAAATTTCATGTTATGTATTTTTTACCACAATTTAAAAATCCTTACCCTCATGGGGCTTACAATGTAGGAGAGAGAGAGAAAGATAATAAACAAATAAAAATATAAAATAAAAAAGTACAGTCTAGATCAGCTTTTGGTCTGCCCCTGTTTTACAGACAAGAAGCCAGAGGATAGAGAGAAAAGATAACAAGAGTCTGCCCACTAAGACCCTTGTTGTCTGATTCTTGGATTAATACTCTTTCTGTTGAATCTTGCTTCCTTTTTGAGCTTTTATTATCTCTATTTTATCTCAACCTTTCAATAAAATACTGGAAAGAGAGCAGGCTCTGAAACCTGGATTCAAATTCCACCTCAATTGCTTCCTGGCAGTTTGATCTTGGGATTTCCTTCTCAAATGGGGATAACAGACCTACCTATAAGGGTTAAATGTAATTTATTACCCTTACACCCATGCGCAAAGTAAGGAGTCAGTGAAAATTATCTCCCTTCCTAGGAACAAAGTTTTATAAAGAAGCAGCATGATCTTTACCAGAGTTTTAGAAAACCAACTCTGGCAATAACATGAAAAATTGATTTGAGAAGCAGAAGATTGGTGTTCAAGAGCAATAAGGAATAGCGACAGGTCCTCCCAGAGAGCTGGGGGCCTCTGAGTGGCATTAGCGGTAGGAAATTAGATTGACAAAGACATTTGGATTAGCCAATGAGTAGCTAGGCACAATAAAAGGCTCCATGCAAATGTAGATACAACTTAGTTGTGGTTGGGGACATTTTAAAATTGAATCACAACTGTGTATTTCAATTCACCATGAAGAATTTTTATTGGTGGTCACTGTACATTGCAGCACCAGAGAATCTTTGACTTCTATTGTCATTAATATTAACCTCCTCTGGGTAGAAGCTAACAGTGACCACTGACGAGGAAGAACACAAGACCAGGTTATCTACTATATCATCAGTAAAGCTGAGAATGGGGCAAATTCCCGGAAGAATCCAGTTAGATCAGACTAATGCAATCCTGTAAGACACTCCTTAGATTTAAACCTTCCCAGAACTTCCTGTTACTTACAGCAATGCTTCTCAGATGGTGATTCTTGGACCTCCTTCATCAAAATTAACCGAAACACTGAAAAGTCATATTCTCACTCAAGTCTAACTCATGACCTACTAAATTGTCATCTCAGTTGGTAAGACTTAGAAATTTGGATTTTAAACACTCCTTTCCCCTCTTTCACCTCCTGATCCTTAATCACACTGAAGTTTGGGAAACAATAGCCTAAAAAATATATTCATGCTTCTCGGCATGGTGCTTACAAACTCCTTCATAAACTTGCTCCAACCACCTTTTATCCCTCATTATTCTTTCCCACGGGTCTATGTTCTAGCATACAGAATGAATAACTATTTCTGAACATACTAAACTTTTTCCCAACCTCAGAACCTAATCTGTATATTGTTCCCTTTGTCTATACAGCTTCCTCTCTAACCATTTCACAAAATTCCAATCGTCTCAGTACATGGGAGATACTATATTACCTTTTGAAAAATGTTACCCAAAAAATCAGTACCCAAAGCTTTAACTGCATCTTTTCTGTGAGCTTGTGGTGATGCATAAGTAAACTCCTTATCTGAGGAATGAAAAGAGAACGACTGAGTCAAGCTTGGGTTTCCCATAGTCAAGCAGACTCAACTACGCAATAGCACTCCTGACCCTGAAAACTCCTTCTCCCGCAGGTAGAGGGAGATGGGTTCAATGGCATATGGTATGTTTTCACTAAATGTTTGAATGAATGATTAGGCTAGAATGATGTTCTTGATCTCCCATTTCATTTTGGCTAATTTAAACAGTTTTTATGCCTATTCAAATTATGGCCAACTCAGTTAAAAGCCCAAACTGTTTAAATGTTTTGAATACTAAACAATGGTTGATTGAATAGATTTTTCACTCTTCAACTGGGTAGTGTTGCTACACAAAGCCATAGCCTAATATAGAATACAAGACTGGCCTCCTGTCTTGGCAGACCAGCCAATGCAGGTGCAGTTCAGACCTCCGGACAATTCTAAATATGCCTAGATTATTTATACAAGTGGAACCCTAGCCTATTATGCCCACAGCCCAGGCAAGCAGGTGAGACTATAGAGAAAAACACCACATGCACCTGTCTCTCTGGTTATGCCATGACATTGAACCAGCCAAATGTGAAAAGGCCAAGAGCTAAGGAAATCTGCCCTTTCTCAGAGGATGCTGTCCTTAGGGCAAATTTTCTATAGCACATAGGCTTCTGCTGGCATTACAGTTTTTTAGACATAATTACAAAAGAGAAAAACGTGTCTTTCCTAACTTCCCTTATTCTTCCCTCTGGACATGGCTTTCACGATGACCACAGACTGCCCACCATGCTCCGCTTTCATCTAACGCTCTCATATATCCAAAATTACTTTTAACTTTTACCCATCAGTGAAAACACGTATTCCTTCAAACACATAGATCTTGGGAGACAATGTGATTAGGATATTGGTAACTTAGGCTTTCCCACACACAGTCCTTCCTACCCACGTTGCTCTCTCCCTCTTGCACATATAGGTCCCTCTCATCTCTCCTGTCTCAGTTTAAATGTCAACTTCTCATCAAACCTCCCCTGACCA